AAAAAAAAAAAAAAATCCTTCATCACAATCCCACTCTGCCTATAAGTCTCTGCTTGGATGACCAGCCTGACCCACCTCTTCCACCTCAACTCGCACCTTTCCCCAAATGGCCCGGAGGCCCACAGCTGGCCTGCTTTCAGTCTTCTGCACATGCTACACTCCCTCAGGCCACAGGGCTTGGCACACACTGCTCCCTCTGTCTATGTGTGTGAGCAGGCCTGCTCCCAGCTCACCTGGAAAATGCCTACTCCTAACCTCTCAGATACAAACCTTCGTAAAGTCTCAGTGTCTCTTGTGAGGTTTATCTCCCATTTACCTCTCTTACAATGGGGCTGCCCTGGACAACCCTAACCTTGGTGAACAGAAAGCCTTTTTGGAAAAACTGTCTCACAGAGCAGTACAACTTAAAGCAGATTTTTTTTCTTTGTATATATTTATGACTCATCTTCCCAACTAAATAATAGCTCCTTGGAAGGACAATACCCATTATTACTTTAGGTAAAAATAGAATTGTACCCACCTCCAAAAGGAGCCCTACTTTTTTTTTAATCCCAAAGTACACTTACCAAATTTACAGCACAACATTTACAAATCTAAAGCAAATCCTCAAGAATAAAAGTAAGATATCTTCAATATGATCTAAAACATTTAGGATTTAAAGGGTCATTAGGCGCTCAGATTTTGCTTTGGAAAAGAACAAAACATGAGCCTGAACCAGGGGCAGATGTGTTCATGTAACAGACAGGACCACTACATCAAGCAGGACATCACAGCATCCCACACAGCCCACCAGTAGGGGGCAGCAGAAACTTGGTCACAGCTTTTCACCCTTTAACTGAGGATTTCCTTACCTGCCGAAATCTCTTCAGATGTATAATAAGCACATCAGGCAGAGTCCAGAGGCTTAAGGTAATGCTCCCCTGCTGCAGCTGCTTACAGTGTGGGCAACGCCAGGCATCATCTGGGGCAAGCTGAAAGAAAGCATGACTTTGGTTAAGTGCCACCTTAAGGCAAGACTGCAGGAGACACACTTCCTGGCCAGGGCATACGCTCTCTGGAAACTACACATGATGGGAGTCAATGGAAAAACAATCAAAAGTGGCACCGGGCCAGAGCTGGCACCAAACATTTGCTGAACAGATCATCTCTCAAAGAGGATTGACTAAAAAGGTAAATACTTCTCTCTGCCATTTCTCATACCTATCTCTTCCTCTCCATTCCCACGAACATCACCTTAATTTAAAGTCCTCACTTACTTTCTTATATGGACTTCAAGTCTCTTCATTCTTCTTTCTCCTCCAAGCACTGAACTGCTCCAAATAGTCCTCTCCCTTCCTGCTATCAACTGCTATATCTTTCTAAATGTCAATCTGAGGCCTCAAATCCACATATGTCATCTCTGCAAGCAAGGGTCAGGATGGGCACATATTAAGTTCGAAGTGCCAATAATTCTTGTCTGGTGAGAATTTTAAAATGTACTGTGGAGTTCAGATAATGCATCTACATGATGAGGTAAGGGAAGCCATGGGTGCCTGTTTTTAAGGGAAACAGAAAAGCTGAGAAACCACCAGAAACTGAGGATGCCTGGTAAGAAAAACAGGCAGATCAGAGCATTCCTTTCTATGCACACCATGAAGAGAGAAGGGCAAGACCCCATGGAGAGGTCAAGTGTAGATTAAGCAAAGGTCACTGAGCAAACTACGGGCCACCAAAATCTGATTCAAGTCACACAGATGACTAGAGGTTCAGGAAGGAGAGAGGGAGGGAAAAGAGCTAAACCGACTAATGGAGAAGTCAGGCAGAAAAGAGACAGACTCGCAAAGTAATTTGAGAGAGAAGCAGAACTGAGGGAATCCTTTTCATGACAGGGAGACCAATCACGTTTGTAGGGAAGATGGAAAAGGACAGAAGTTTGGGTAGATGGAAGTGAATCAAAAATTTAGACTGAAGAGACCTGGCTGTCATCTGGTAAGTGCACATCTCTGTGTGACACACTAACGGTCCACACAAGTGGCCATCCACCCCAGTGCTTGTGGTAAAGGAGCAGGTTGTTGTTTGTTTTTCAATTTCCAATACAGTACAATAGATACTTTAGATACATTAGATGCTTTTGTAAGATGCAATAACAATGTCATGACATCTAATAGGTATGACAGTTCCTAAAACACTTCCCCAGGTCCTGTGCTTACCATAAATTGTTAAGAAGAGCTCCTGTACTGCAGGAGCACATTTACAGCATTGCTGGTCCAGCTGATGCGGCCTAGCAAATGAAGGGGGGCTACTTCGGGAGGCAGCTATTCCATTCTCAGGGAGTCTGCTACAAAGTTCTTCCTCATATTAAGACAAAATCACTCTCCCTTTAATTTCCAATCCTAATTTAACGTCTGCTTTTTAGATCAAATTCAACCCAATCCCTCATCCACACACAGGCCTTAAAATGCCTGAAAGTAACTATTAGACACCACTCAAGGCCTCCTTTGTCCAAACATATTCAGCCATGCCATGTGTGTACGTGCACGGGTTCCCATCCACTCTCCCTGGTTGTGCCCTATTTTGTCAGTCTCTTAACAGGGAACATTTAAGGCAAGGAGAAGAAGGACACCACTGCCATCTGAGGCCTGGACACTGTTTCTAAAGCATCCTTAAGGCACATGACACTGACAGTGGCTGCCACCCACATGACATCACTGATCAATACTGAGCTTGCAGACAATGAATCCCAAAGTTACCATCCCATGGCCTACTGCTGAGTCTCACCTTCTCCTCTTCCATATTTGCAGTTATTTTTGGATCCAATGACTGAACTTCCCGAGTAACTCACATAAACATTCACTCAGTATAGATGTACTGAATGCTTTCTATGAGCTGGCACTGCTTTAGATGCTAAGGTTACTTTATGACCTGGACAGATTCTCTTAACTCTCTCTCTTACCCTCTGGGCTCAAGCCACATTGGCCTCATTCCTGTTTCTCAACCATGTCAAGTTCCCTTCTGCCCCAGGACCTTTGCTTCCTTTAGTTAGCTATCCCCACCAGACTCTAAACTACAACTATCAACAGCCTGAGGGCAGCTGAGAATCACTGTTCCAGTTACCAAGGAAAATAATTTGAAATATCTAAATTGAAACAAAAAAATAAGTTTATTATTAACCATTAAAGAGGAAAAAAAGAACGAACTACAAAGGTTCATTTCTAGACTGTTTCAGTTAATCGAGGTTTCCTAGAAATCTAAACCATTTTTTGTTAAAGTCCTGAAAAGAGTAACACTAAGATGCCCATCACAAGTGCAAAACCTACATAATGCAAAAACCCTGCAGAGTTTTCTGGGGCATCATCTGTTTCTCCATGTCACCTTGCCATGCCCCGCTCCCTCCCTCTCACCACCACAAAATGCTTCTGGACTCACCCGTTCCTCTTTGGTGTACAGTTGGAAACACTGGGATAAAGTGCAAGTTTGAGGCTGATGATGACGCTCCCTTTGCAGACGGACACTTTCTGCATCAGGGATATACTCATCTTCAGTATTTACAAACAAGCTGCAATTAAAGGGAAAAAAAGCATTCATCAGAGAACATCTTGCAAAACTGACACAAAAATAACAATTTACTTCACAATGTGACTATAAATTCATAACCAAAAAGATCAATGTCTAAGAAAGCAAATGTGGTGATGCAACTTTTCTATGTTCCAAAGTTATTTTCAAAATATAACTTGGAGTTGGTTTTTCTGGGACTGGCCATAAACTATGATGATTAATTTACATATTCATATCCTTTGTATTTAAGGGCATGCATTTGGCATTAACTTACTGGATTAATGGGCCTGTAATAAAAATCAAAGTAATTGGACCTACAGTATATATTAATGAAACTCCATCTCATCAGCAGCAAATAAATGTTCTAAGGTTTTGTTTTTGTAATCCAGACAACAGAATGTAATGGAAAGAATAATAAACTGCTTAAATAAAGGATTAGTAACACAGTTGGATACTTAGCTAAAGAGCAGAGAGATATGTGTTTCAGCTAATTTGAACAATAAAGGTATGCTATTAAAATTATAATTAGACCAGTGACTCTATAAACACTAAGTAAAAAAATACTCACAATTCTCTTGTCTCTTTGTCCCATTCTACCACTAATTTCACATGAGCAGTTCCACCTGGCCCACAAGATTTTAATGCCCTAAGAATAGGGAGGGAAGAAGGAAGAGAAGTCACATATTATTTTCTAAATAAATGGTTTTACTTAAATATTATTATGTCCTATCTGAAATTTGAAACCATATGTGATTACTGAAAATCTTCATCATTATTCCCCATCAAAACAAGTTTCTAGCCAGACCACTATAACCTCCCATTTTTAACTAGGTCACAATTGGACTGAAAAATCCTTAAAATGTCCAATATAGAAATAAAGAGATTGGAAGAAATTTAGGATCACATTATAAGGCTGTCCACGATCACTTATAAATATTCTTTATGACCTTTCCAGCTTTTTGTCCAACTGCTCACCAATCCAAATAGAGACTGGACAAAAGACCCTCTGAGAACAAAGTCTGCTCCTGCCTCTCTCCACCTGCCCCTATAAGCCACACCCAGTCCTTGGCCTGTGTCCTAAACTGTGCCCTTTCTGCAAGGCACCACTCAGGTTCAACCTCCTTCCTGCGTAAAGCCCCACCCTGAGTTCCCAAGCTCATCGCCATTTCCTGGGAAACTTTTTCAGCATTAATAGTCAACATTTAGTCATCTAATATTTTTTATGCTCCACAGTATTTTGGATGATTCTCTATTAACTCATTTCTAAAACCAAACAGTAAGCTGCATTCAAACACAACCATGTTGTATACCTTTTTGGAATCCTGAAATGCAAACACTGTATTATTTGTTGAGACTATCATTGTAATAAAAACAATAATTTGAGTTTTTATGTATCTATATATGCATAGTGTATACAAACACATACACACATCTTATTATTTCACTAGTACAGCAGAGTGTTGTAATAGGCCACCAGTATGCAGAAAGCACATACATACTTGCATAGCAGAATAGAGTGACTAATTCCACCAGGAAAGCGAAGGAGGGACAGAGTACATAAAGGTGCCAAGAGAGCAATTACCAATAGAGGAAACCACATGCTAAGGCACACGCAGAAGAGTATCGTACATTCAAACAATCCTCAGGACTTCGACACTGCTGAAGGTTCAAGATGGCAGGGAGAAGAGCAAGGCCTGACAAAAGGGAAGTAATGAGGACTCAGACTGAGAAAAACCTCACACACTTGGAACTTGGGCTTTTTTTCTTTTAGGCCACAGGTTACCATTTAAGGATTTCAAGGAGCAAGGCAGTGTGGTTAGAATTTTTCTTTGGAAAAATTCAATCTTAATAAATATGAAAGTGTAATTAATCTGTAGTATTAGGCCATACATTAAAATGCTTCCTAACAGGAGTACAACAAGTTTTGCAACTTCAAAAAAAATCATATACTCAAATATGAATCAAAAGTAAAGTAAGTACTTAATTTCTAAATGAGCTTAAAGAACCTACTACACTTATGTGGAAATTATACCAGACATCACTACATCACTAGAAATTACACATGAACATAAATAAAATACTAGAAGGTGTTTTTTTTTTTTTCTTTTTTACCTTTCTACTGTTGGGTGGCACAGGGGCTGCTCCTCCTGGGGCAGCAAGTATGTTATTCCAACAACACTGACCACACGCAAACTGAACGGACACACCTGCCATCAAATATCAAAGGAGAATTAGTGGTCTCTCTACTGCAGAATTGCAAACTGTTTTGCAAAAATGCTTCTCTATATATATAGTATTGTTAGGCTGTTGAGTCACTTTGACACACTTTAAATACAATCTACCCAAATGCAATTTACAGATCAGTGTTAGGCAAGACTAGTAATATGTTCCTTTAGCTGAACATTAACTTAATGTAAGTCTTCTAAGGCTACCTTAACATTGTAATCATAATCTCAAAAATGTAGACAAATGTTCTACAAAACCTCTCCAGGATGATCACGTGCTAACCTTTATTAGACAAATATTACAAAGGAGTATCCAGCAATTCAAGAAAAATCCTGTGGTAATCAGCTCCATTTAAAAAATAAGGGACAAGTCCTCAGTCTTGAAAATGTGAACACAGCTGCTACCTAGGGCTTCCCAATGGTCCAGCTCAGTATCTAGTCCTCCCTAAGCACAGAGGTCTGAATTTCAAACTCTACTGTAATACCTGTTTCTTCTCTGCGTATGCAAGGCATGCAGTACTAGATTTCAAAGCGCTTACACACCTGAATGCAAACCGTGGGCCTCAAGAAATACTTCATCTTCTCCAAGATTTCCTTTTGCAGAAGGTCCCATGCTACTGTCTTCTCTAAGTGTAGCACAAAGGGCAGTCCAAATCTACCACACATAAATACTGTAATTGCCTTAAAAGTACAGCAATTCCTTTAATACTGTAATTCTTTATTCATGATTTTTGTATATGGAATCACTAATAATTGGTTTGAGAACAGTTCTCAAAATAAAACAACAGGAAATTTAATAATAACTCTCTTAAGTGGATGAAAAAGTCACAAGAGAAGCTTGGGTTTCTATGTGAAACTTAACAGATCATACACCAAAATGGCTTCTAGAGAAGGTATGAAGTAAGAACAGGAATAGTGGCGATGGTGAGGAAGCTCGGTGGGGGGACGTGATGGACATGAGTTTGGCAATCTGCATGGGTCAAACATATAAGGAAGGGGCTAAGGGCCAGAGGAACAGACAGGGTCTGAAGGTAGCAGGAAGGCAGCAGTATCCTGGTGATCTGACAAGGGAGGCCCTGGCAAATCAAGTGTCACTGCGAGTCAGCTCCCAGCCTAGGGCAGAGGCCACATGACCCCTGCCAGGGCTGGGCTCTCAGGAGTAAGAGAATCAGAAGCAGTGCTGTAGTTCTCAGCTTTGGCTGCACACTGAAATCACCAAAGGAGCATTAAACAACAGTGATGCCCAAGTGTAGCCCCCTAAGACCCTGTTGCAATCACTCTGATATGTGGCTCGAGATGTTCTAGGAGATCCCCAGGTGGTTCCACAGCCAAGATGGAGAACCACTGGACTAGCCTCACTCCCACAAGCTCCAGCCATTCACGCTTACCTGTATGCCCTGAATACAAACTACTTCCCACCCAGGCCTCTGTTCCCTCAGTCTGAATGCCCTTCCCACCTCTCTTCTAGGCTGCTGCCTACTCATCCCATCAAGACCCATAGCAGGGGGTGTGGGGGGACGGGGTGGGACTCCTCTCCAGGAAGCACCCTGCTGACTTGTTCTCTGTGCCATCTGCACCAAGCTGCTCTGCCATAGATACTGTCTGTGTATTTTTTTGCCTCCACCAACAGACTAAGTCATTTGATAGCAGGAACTGTGATACATTTCTCATTGTAGCCCCAACATCCAGTGCCTAGAAAATAGTAATCAATGAATGAGCAAATAGATAAATCCTGACTCAGGCAGAATCAGAAGTGCTAAGACCACGAAGAAACCTGTTCCTAACAAGCACGAGTGTACTCACAGAGGAGCTCAACAGTGGACCTACCCACCTAAGCAACTGTGGTGTGCAGTAAGCTACAGGCACGTGTAAATCAGCTGGCCATGCTTTCCATGACAATGGCTTTAAGAGACTACCATCATGGAGGGGATTCTACAAGTTTTTTGTTTCATACAAACACGGTAAGCTGCCTTTCCTTCTGTCCCTTAAACACCCCGAGCTCCTTCTAGTCTTTGTACTCAAGTCCCTCTTCATGGAACCTTTTCCCCAGAGGCTCACAACTCTCCTCACTCAGGCTTGGCCCAGCTGCTGCCTCCCCAGGGACGCTCTTTTTAGTGCAGCTGGCCAGCCCCCGCCGGCACGCTCTATTATACTAGCCTGCTTTCGTGTCTTCATAGTGGTAATGACTGCTTGAAGTTAAATGTGTTTGCTTGTTTATAGTCAGTCTGTCCTAACTAGGATGTAAGCTCCCTAAGAACACAAGTCTGTCTCCTTCACTGCTGCATCCTCAGTGCTTAGAAGAGTGTCCAAGACACTGTGAATACTGAGGTATTTGTTAATGAGTATCATAAATACAAAAACCAACACTTTTGCATTTGTTATTTACCATCCTTAAGTAAGGAATTTACTTCAAAGCAGAATTTTAAAAGGCTAATATAAATACTACCCTGACAAATACTAGAAACAGAGTTCTTTCTCTGAGAAACATATCCATATCTTGCCATTACTCAAGTTACATCCTATTGTGCTAAAGCTACTTTGAAAGAGTCTAAAACTCCCATAACTTCTTACAAAGAAACAGACAGATTTGAAAGAGATTTCTGACTCCTAAATTTCTGCTTAAGCAGCTGAAGGTGCCATTTGCTGAGACAGGAAATACCGGAGGGCTGGGTTTTATAGGGAAAGACAATGAGTTTAGTTTGGGATGGAGGCACACATACCATCCAAGTACACATGTGAATTTAAAAAAAAGAAAGCTGTTACACATAATGTACAGGGGTCATGGGGCAGACAGTAAAGCACAGAGAAGACAAGTAGTGACTCTGTGGTATCTTACTACACTGATGGACAATGACTGCAACGGGGTATGTGGGGGGGACTTGATAATATGGGTGAATGTAGTAACCACAGCGTTGCTCATGTGAAACCTTCATAAGATTGTATATCAATGACACCTTATTTTAAAAAAAAGAAAGAAAGAAAGCTGTTAAGAAAATAGCTGGATATAAGTCTACAGGTCCAGAGCCCCGAGAGAAGCCTGAGCTGAAAATAAACACAAGAGATGAGCCTTAAAAAACTAGCTGAGCTTGAAAAGCCTTTCTAACTCAGATTCTATCATCCCAATTTTGCATTCTCCCCCTCCCAACTCCTCAAAATCAGGTCAACTTATATACACTCTTCCTAAATATCAGAATGAAAATTAACTATTAAAAGCATTTTTCATCTACACTTTTTTAAATGTTTGAAAATACTAGACATTTTAAGTCTCATTACTCCCTGGAAAATAAGTAGGTGTTCACCTTTTCCCTTGCTGCCCCATGCAGGCTCGGTTGCATACTAACAAAACAATCTTGTCGCCTCCTGTTCTTGTCGGGGGCAAGTCCATCTTCCCTTGCTTTGCTATTGTTTGTGTAGGTGACAGTCTGTGAGGATCCAAGCCAAATTTCAAGTGGTTTAGATTGTTGTTTAAGTGGATTCCTGAAATTAGAACAAAAAACCAGCTTATTTTACCTCTTCAAAATTCTTTTCATTCATTCATTACAAATAAATTTATCCAACAGAAATATTAAGAAGTTGTCGTTATGTAGTTTAAACCGCAACTGAAAGGAGAGATGATCTGCTTTGAGATTACTCATCTAGCCACTGAAATAATTTCTTTACCACCCATTATTTCCTTTAGCCTTACCTATCCTAAAAACTGAAAATTAAAACTCTTCACTTCAGTGAGTACTAGCTAATAATTTACTAAGGCAAGTTTGCAGAGATGACCCACCAAGACAAATGCAAAGTAAGACCATCCAACCAGCAACCAAATAAAAAAATTTTTAATAAAAATAAAGACTAGTAAATGTGGAAAGACCTTCAACATTCCAATAATGGTTTCTTCTCCCTCATAAACAAGCCAGACTTATGAGAAACAAAGATAAATGACAGACTGTCATTAGAGGACATGTTGTCTTTAATATAATCACCTAAGCTAGGCCAACCTATATTTAAGTGAACAAAAATATTTGATAGGCCCAGCACTCATTGCTGAAAACCAGGTCTTCAGAAATGTCCAAAACAGAGCACTCAGGCAATCAGATCTACTCAGCCAATTAAGCATCTAACACAATGTCCTGCATGTAGTAGGAACTCAATAAATCCTTAACTAAGTAATTTTTATTTTCATGGCATACTACTCAACCATAAAAAAGAATGAAACCTTGCCTTTGTAAAACCATGGGTGGACCTTGAGGGCATAATGCTAAATGAAGTCAGACAGAGAAAGACAGATACTGCATGATCTCACTTACATGTAGAATTTAATAAAACAAAAAACCATGCTCACAGATACAGAGGCAGCAGGGGGACAAAAGGGGTGATAAGAATCAAAAGGCATAAACTTCCATGTATAAAATAAGTAAGTCATGGGTATGTAATGTAAAGCTTAGTGACTGTAGTTAATAACACTATATTGCATATTTGAAAGATGCTAGGAGAGCAGATCTTAAAAGTCCTCATCACAAGAAAAAAAAATTTTGGTAACTATGGTGACAGCTGTTAAGATTTATTGGAGTGATCATTTTATAACATATACAAATATCAAATCATTACGATATACATCTGAAAGTAACATATATATCAATTATACCTCAAAAAATAGTAAAATAATTGTCCATTTCTTCAATCCTTTGGAAGTACAACCTAAGGAAATAATATCCAACTGGAGAACTAAAGAAGGAAGCCCTCTACCACCACAACTACCATGACCACCCACACACAAACAGTAATACTCATCCAGGAGAATAAAATAAAGTGGTTTACACAAAAATATTCATAGCAGAATTCTGGCAATAAACTGAATATTCAGCAATATGAGACTTGCCAAACCTATTAAGGTATATCAGCAATATAGCAATTTAAAATTATTCCAGATGAATTAGAATTTTTAAAAAGAACACAGAATTTAGAAAAAAAGAAAAAATGTAATGTTCATTGAGCTATTAGAGGGAAGAAATCTTTTTAAGCTTAAATACCATAAAGAAAACACAATAGGAAGAGCAGCAGATTTTACTTCACAACCATTTTAAACTCTGATATGAAAAAATGAAAACAAGAGAAGTCTGAATTTGAGACAATGCATGACCTCATTTCTCTGATTCTTGGCAGATGTAAGGCTGAAAAGACCTTTCTGAAAGTGATCAGATCCCGACTGAGATAAGGGAAAACCACTCAACTGCAGAAATCAAGCTCTACGTCCAAAGAGCAGCCCATTTATTACTACGAGCTGTGGGACCAGGGCCATTACTTAACCTCCCCAAGTCACAGCTCCCTCATCTGTAAAGTAGTAGCCTCCCACATATCAAACAAAATATTTATAAGGTCTTTAGAACAGAAGCCAACACATATCCAGGAAGTGGAATACCCTTCCAACAAAGGTACTCTCTGGTTAAAATACGATAACCTTGGACCTCACCAAATTCACTTATAGACAGAAACTCAGTGTCAGCCATTAGCAGTCAGGGTGTGAAGAGAGACACGGAAAAATTTTAAGTTGGATGACCATTAGTGGGGCTTTTGCTATGTATTAGGAACTACACTCAACTGCTGGGTACAGAAAGATAAAGCAAAACATAGTCCCAGCTGCACAGAACTTTACAGTGTGGTGGAAGGATAGAGGAGAAAACAGAACCATTTCCACACCACATGCTGGTGTCAGAAATTAGCAGAAGCTATGAGTGGAGCACAGAAGGGCAGGAGTCAGCAAGCCTGAGGTAGGGGAAGTGAGGTAAGGCTTTCTGGACAAGTTGATGAATGGGTATTTTTTTCAATTAAAATTAGAAAACACTTTAAACAAACAAAAGCACTTGCATGAAAATGCAACTAGAAAACAAACAAAATGCTCCTAAGTCAAAAGAGAATGAAAACTCAAATAACAGACTAACTAGAAAACACTAATGTAAAGATGAGCAGACCAGAGAAAATTGAATTCTAAGCTGGCAGTGAAGAAAGCTGACCAAACCAATATACAGAATTACCAAAGGGTTTAGAATTATCAGAGGCACCAGAGACCTCTGGAAGTAGGAGGTGAAGGAAAAGAGGAACTAAAACAAGGACACCAAGACCATTCAATGAGGAAAGAATGGCCCTTCAACAAATGGCATTGGCAACAATTGAATATTTACGTGCAAGAATGGAGTTCAACCCCTACCTCAAGCCACATACAAAATTAACTCAAAATAGATCAAAGACCTAAACGTAGGAGCTAAAACTATAAAACCCCTAGAAAAAAACACAGGGGTAAATCTTCATGGCCTTGAGTTTGGGAATGGATTCTTAGACATAACACCTAGAGCATTAGGAACAAAAGGGGAAAAAAAGATAAAAAAGACTTCATTAAAATTAAGAACTTTTGTGCATCAAAAGACACTATCAAGAAAGTAAAAAGACAATCCACAGAATGGGAAAAAATATCTGCAGTCATATCTGATAAAGGTTTAATATTTGGCATATAAAAAAACCTTATAATTCAACAACAAAAAGATAAACAACCCAATTTAAAAATGGGGAAATGACTTGAACGGACATTTTCTCTAAAGAGGATATACAAATGGCCAACACACACATGAAAAATGACAAGCGTCACTTATCATTAGGGAAATGTAAATAAAAACCACAATGGCATAACACTTCACACCCACTAGGTTTGCTATAATCAAAAACAAAATAACAAATGTTGGCAAAAATGCAGAGAAATTGCAACCCTTAGATATTGTTGGTGGGATAAAAAATGACATAGCTGCTCTGGTAAACAGTTTGACAATTTCTCAGGAAGTTATACATAGAATTGCCATATGACCCAGCATTTCCACTTCTAGGTGTGTATACTCCTAAAGAATTGAAAACTATATTCAAACAAATGCTTGAACATGAATGGTCATAGCAGCAGCATTTCACAATAGCCAAAAGTGGTAACAAACCAAATGTCCATCAGTGGATGAATGAACAAAATGGTATACACATATAAAGGAATGAAGTACTGATCATGCCACAATGAGGATAGACACTAACACATCATGCTAAGTGAAAGAATCAAGTCACAAAAAGCCAGATATGACCTGACTCCATTCACATGAAAGTCCAGGACTAGGGAAATCTGGAGACATAAAACAGAACAGTGGTTGCTTAGGATGGGGTGGGAAGGGGAGATTGCAGGGAAATATGCCTAAGGAGACAAAGTAGTAACTAATGAGGCCGGAGCTGGAGAAAGGAGTTCTCAGCAGAGCAAACAGTGGGAAAGTGGGAAAGCATGGGGCATGTTTGAGAACTAAAGAGTAACTTGGACAGGGAGCAAGGGGTAGGAGGTGGAATATAAGAGGGAGACTGGAAAAAAAGCCAAGGGCCTAATCATGAGGGGCCATGCATTCTTCCAAGGTGCTTAGATTCAATCTTAGGAAAAAGGGAACCACTGCTAAGTCAAACAAGCATGATCAGAATTGTGTCAGAATAGGTGAGGTGGCACCATGAAGAAAGAAGTGAACAGGAGGAAGCACAGGGGATACTACTAAAAGAGTTACCAGAAAAGCCCAGTTGAGATTGGCTGTCTTGCCAATGAGTTTCAGTCCCAGGCAAGTTTGTTATGGATTCAATGTGACCAAAGAAAATGACAGCAAACATTCTTTGGGATGAAAGGGTTTATTACCTGGCTTGTTCTCCCGTTGGCAGGTCAAGCACTAGCATCTCTGCCTCTGCCCAGAGCACTGGGCCGAGCTCTCTATATAGTGCAATAATATTTATTGCCTAAAGGTGTGTAAGCGGTAGCCTAGCAACAGGCCAGTTACATCATCAGGTGGTTTAAGTTCAGTGAGGATCCTGGCCATAGGAACCTCAACTTCCCCACACTGGCCTGAGCTGCATCAGTGGCAGTAAAATGAAGAAGGAACGGTGAGCAGTGTTCTATCAAATTTAAGTGAATTTTAAGGAAGAAGTCAAAATGTCAGGAAGAAGTGCTTGGATTCAGCTTGGGTGCAGAGAAGGACAGTGGTGCCATTATTCCACAGAAGAAACGCAGGAAGAGTCAGTCTAAGAAAGAAATGCTGAATGTAAAATGCCTGTAGGACTTCTAAATAGAGATTCAGTGAAAGCTGTAAGTCAGGGAATGGATCCAAAAGAAAAGTGGGGGCTAGTAAGGAAGTTTAGTTCTAAAAGCCACGGCAGTAGAAACACTGGTAAGGCTGGGTGGAGCAGAGCAGTTCATTGTACATCAGAATCACCTGTTCACAAGATTGCTAGGCTCCACCCCCATGTCTTCTCATTCAGTAGGTCTGAATTTCCAGAATTTGCCTTTCTTACCAATTCCCAAAGACACTGAAGCTTTGCTAACCACTGGAGTACAGCAAAAAAGCAGGAGACCCAGAACCTTGAAGAACACTGAGGCTATGAACAAAGCCTGAATTGCCTGGCAACTCTTGAAATCAGAAATAGCCCCCAAATCCTCCCAGCACAGTAGTGAGACAGGCTTAGTTGTAAACCACAGCCCAAGCGGCAGGAAAAGAAATAGCATTATCCGGAGTTTTACTCTCTTTTGCCACCTATTAATGCACAGTTTTTCAAAGCAAGTAGCAAAAAAACAGTCTAAGGCAAAATAGAAATTAAGCATCAGAGACAGTAGCAAAATATAAAACAAAACCAAATTTTAAAAACGCTAAAGCATAATATACCTTCCTGAGTGCTATTACAAGATGCCAAAGAGGTCACTTGAAGGAGGTCATAAGTCAGTCCTGAGCCTCACAGGAGGGCTGTCCCAAGTGCCAAGAGGAAAAGACTAGAAATAAAGAAAATAGCTTTGCCTAAAACAGTAAGACTGTCTTCTAGGGAAATGTGTTACCACAAAATTTATACCATTACAAAAAAGTATTACGTGTATTTCACCACAATTAAAAAAAAATTAAACCATCATATAATAGACATGTAAAAGGGTAGTCACTTGTTAAACCTGTAAACTCTTATGCCAACAGATGCTCATTTACCTCTTTGACTGAGAATTCCTTCAGGCCTAAAAATCTCTGGAGTCTCAAAGGCAAAAATGCAGTCACTTTCATGGACTGTTTCCAGGTCGTCTGTGTCACAAAAGGAACGGTGGAAACCATCATAGTACATTTCTGTTAATACAATCTAAAAATAGGAAAAATGAAAATAGTTGGATAACCAGAAAGTCAGTACCAATTCATCTCCTAATTCTATTCTGAGCTTATCCAGATAGTCAGGACTTGCAGTGATCTGGGAGGGCTCTGAAACATCTCAGATAGCCCATGTTCTTTGCCTTTAATAAGAGTCTTGGAAGTGTAACATCTACTGTAGTTGTGTAACTATACACTCTGATTTCAGAATGCCATGGCATGAAATCCTCTAAGTTCCTCTAAGTTCTGGTGGAGAAGCAACTCAGGAGACTATAAAGTCTAGCCCCCTTGATTCACAGGGGGAAGACTAAAGAAAGGTAGAGTGACCTGCCAAAGATTATTCAACTATTCAGTCTCGTAGAGAGGAGTGAGTCCACATCTGATTCCAAGATTTTCTCCTCCATCACTGAATTTTCTTTACAAGTTAAAAAATGGGTTTTTGTATTTGGGAAAAAAATGAAATCAACTCTAATGTACAACAATAGGAACTGGTTAAATATATTACATCCCTACTGGAATTATAAAGCTATTACGAAGAATGAGCTGCACATATTTGGGCTATCATGAAAAGATCTCCTAAGTAAATAAGCAGAAAGGTAAAGAACAATGTATGCAAATGATTCCATTTTTATAAAGTAAATGTGGTATATGCACAGAAAAAAATAGGAATGAATATACAACAGAGTGTTAAAGTTAGTACCCCTTAGTTCTAAGATACGTAGGATGACATACTTTTTACTTTCTAAATTAAATTTCTAAAATGATCAAATATTTTACAATGAAACAGAAAAACAAAAGTTGGGGAAAAAACAATGGAGACATTTAGAGACTTCATTATTACATGCTCAGCAACACTGTCTAGTGAAAAAGCACCAGATTGAGAATAAGGAAGTTCCAGTCACAGCCTGCAACCAACCAGCCTTGTGACCTTGAACAAGTCACATGGTTTCCCTGGGCCTCCTTCAAATGAGGGGGTTGGACTAGACCCCTAAAGTCCTCACTTCTAAAGCCAACATACTACAAATTTATGAGGTGAAAGAGGCTGGTGGCTTACTCCACAAACAGTCCAAGAAAAATATTCTTGACACATTTTTCTTCTAATGATTTTAATGACAATGCTGTTTTTCTGCAAGTTAACATGCAAGTGTAATTCACTTTATCCACCAAGCTAAGGTCAAAACCAGTCTTGTAATTACATCACCCCACTTAAACCACATGCAAAAAGAGCCACACAGTGCTGAAGTTTTAATGATACAACCAGATTTGCCTTGGACCTTGGGAACACACTTAAGCCTCCCTCTCTCTCCTCATCCTGAAGGAAAAAACAAAGCAGCAGCACTTCAGAGTAAGGAAGAGTATGTGCCAGGACTTGGCCTATGAACACATGAGATATTGGCTGTATTAGGACAACACTGCTGCCTGATTTGTTTTACTGTGGGAACTTCCCAAAGGAGGCCACAGGAGGCCAAAGCACAGAACACCGTTATTACTCAATTGATTATATAGCAGCTTCCAGGAGCTATGCAGGGAAAAGCTCTTCCCCCACTGACTCATCCTTCCCTACTGAATCTGAAACAGGGAATGTTTTCCAAAATTAAATCATAAGAATGAACTGAATAAAAGCTATATGCAAAAATATGTCAAGTCACAAACAGATCAAAAGTATTTTGGGATCTCCAGGAACGAAAGAGTATTAAGAGAACTGTGTGACCAATCCAAATGGAACATTATTCGCATTATACAGGTACCAGAAGAAGAGAGAGAAAAAAGGATAAAAAGTGTCTTTGAAGAAATAATTGCTGAAAACTTTCCCAAACTGGGGAAGGAAATAGTCTCTCAGACCATGGAAGCACACAGAACTCCCAACACAAGAGACCCAAGGAGGACAACACCAAGACACATAATAACTAAACTGGCAAAGATCAAGGACAAGGACAGAGTATTAAAGGCAGCCAGAGAGAAAAAAAAGGTCACCTATAAAGGAAAAATCATCAGGCTATCAACAGACTTCTCAACTGAAACCTTACAGGCCAGAAAAAAATGGCATGATACCTTTAATGCAATGAAACAGAAGGGCCTTGAACCAAGAATACTGTATACAGCATGATTATCATTTAAATAGGAAGGAGGGACTAAACAATTGCCAGACAAGCAAAAGTTGAGGGAATTTGCCTCCCACAAACCACCTCTACAGG